ATTTCGCGACAAAAATGGCCTCAACATGGATATAAATAACTTTTCATTACGTAATGCACAGTAGCACATGTGAATTAAGTGCACCGGTCCTGAGTCCTTTTCCGTGTGAAATCTACTGTTACGTCACATTGCCATTGTTTTGAGAGTAGATGTGAAAGTTTGTGCACCTGTGAGTGCACCGGTCCCGAGTCCTTTTCCGCGTGAAATCTACCGTGACGTAAACGTTTCCATTGTTTTGAGGGTAGATTTGAGTCCGCCGACCGATGCACTCTTGCAGATTGCGGGTTTTTTGCTACCTTTTCGCTTCAAGCCTCGTTTTGGATTCTACTGTGACGTACAAGCTTTCGCTAAATCGCTAAATCGCTTTGGCATAATGCATTTGCTCAGATTGCTTTCCCACGCATTATCGAAGTCATGACTACAACAGCAAATAAGGGCATTATTCAAATTGAAAGAAAAATAAGTTTGAGGTCAAACGGTAACGTACTCGCATAATTTTTCAAAATAAAGAAATGACTGCATGCCCCTGGAGTCAATAATATAATCTCTATTCTCGAATACTCAATGGTTCTGGGCTTCTGGCCAGTTCTCCTGTTTGTTATTAAATATTGCGTATAAATTTAAAGTTGCTTAGGTTTAATATAAAGCTTTTGTTATATTATAATATAAGCTATGTTATATTATAACATAAGCTTTATTTATAAAAGCAAAGGAATAAATGCCAATAATGGTCATATTATTATGACCACTAGACCTTACTATGACCACTTATTATTATTACCAGTATACCACTAATGACTTTGAGTCACTAGACTAGGTATAAATTATTAACTGTGATTTACGTTATTTTATTAATTATGTAAATCACAGTTTATAATTTATTATTTATACCTTAACACCATTACTATGCGTGCGAAATAAGGTAACTTGTGTAGCTGATTTCAAGATAATACGACAAGTTTGAGGTATTACAATGAAGTTGTTTTCTTGTTTAATAATGCTACACAACAGCCACAAAAATTATTAGGAATGAATGATCAATGATGTCCAGTTTAGGTCATTACCAATTACCAAACAGGTAATTAGACAGTGTAAATTCCTTAACTTCTAGCTATGGTTGCTCATGGCTGTTTTGGTCACCAAAGACTGGTGAATTTCTAAGACTGGTGAATTCCTAAGACTGGTGAATCACAGCTAGTCTCAAGTCTCAAGTCTCAAGTATTGCTGTAAGTCACATGACTGCATTGCTTTAGTTTTAAGATTCTTGGGATAATATAAAAGTTATTTGGGATGATATAACTTTTGCAACAATATGAGAATCCTAAATGCCTGTATACACTAGTAATTGATTGTGAAGAATATTTTTATTACTCATTGATGTATTCACTGTTGTAACTCTTGAACAAAAAAACTTTAGGATTGCATGCATACAACCTCATTTATAAATAGATGGACCTTGCTTTTAAGATTTGGCCAGGCAGGATACTACATAGTCTTGGAATATCTTCTATATTAGAAAGATTGTTTACACCAGCTTTGCTGAATAGTTTAACATAATTAGCCCCACTGCCCCAATCAGTGTTTGTTAGACTAAAACTAAAAAGTCATAAACATAAACATAAACACTTGAATATTTGCCTTTTGCAAGCTCTAAAAAGTGGTTCCTTCCTAGTCGTTTTGGAAATATTTTATTTCTAAAGGGAGACAATACTTTGTCAATATTTTTAATTAAAATTTAAATAACTTGCTTTGTACTACTCACAAAAATATTAATAAACATTATTAAGATTGATCAATAACTCTCTCTTATTTCAAAACAAACACGTTCTACGATAGGTTGGGATATTCTTTTGGCGCCAAATCAAGAGAATATTAACATTTTCGGTTATTTTTTGCCTAAAATTTCACCATTTTTGTGATGAAATATAAAAAGAAAGGCAATTTTTGCCAGATGAAAAAATATTGTTGAAAAAATTTTATGAGAGATTGCAATTTGTCTCAATAGTTCAAAAACAGAGACTGGCAAAAAAAGAAAAAAATTATGATCGAAAGAGCAGAAAGAAATATCTAACAATATCTAGATAATTTGTAAATATTTGCCACATGTGTGCTGCAAATGAGTTGCAAATTTTATTGGAAAATGCACCAATCTTCTTTGCAGCAAAAAAATCATGCAAAAGAAAGCTACGAAGAAATTTTTTTTAAAAATTTTTATTGAAATCCCAATGCATGCAAAATTTATGAATTATGTAAATTTCCATCAATGATTTCCAGGAGGAAATAAAAGAATGGATGAAAATGACTTTAAGATACACATGCAGCATGCATTTTACAGGTGTTGTGGAACCAAGCTAGTGGTCTTTAACATGTCAAGAATCAAGCCAGTGGTCTTCGACATGTCGAGAACCAAGCTAGTGGGCTAGTGATCTTCGACATGTCGAGAACCAAGCTAGTGGGCTAGTGGTCTTCGACATGTCGAAAACCAAGCTAGTGGGCTAGTGGTCTTCGACAAGTCGAGAACCAAGCTAGTGGTCTTTGACATGTCGAGAACTAATGTTACTGGTCCTTGACATGTCGAGAACCCAGTGGTCTTAACAAAGCTAAACCAAATAACCAAATATATTAACACTTAACTTTATAAATCCCAACTTTATAAATCCCAAATTAATTAACTATTTCTAAATAGACCCCAGTCTTTGTCTAATAAGTCTTAGTTTCAGTGCTGAATTATCTAAGACAATGCACTTCAACCCTAGTTTAGAACAGGCCATGGCACATGACCCTGCACCACTACATGCATCAACAATGTACAATGATTTATCGTGGCAAAAAACCTTGATCAGCTCACAATACAGCTGGATGGGCTTTTGTCTTGTGTATTTTATACCACTATCCACTTCTTTTACCAAAGGCTCTCCATCAACTCTAAATATATTTGTTGCGGCCTCCACTTCAATTGAACTACTTCCACTTACAATGAATGGGAAGATCACTTTTTTGAGTTTATCCTTCCCAATTATTAAAAAGAAGAAATATTAATGTATTACTAGTTTACAATCAAATTTTCAGCGAAGCAGGGCCTGAAAAAAAAAATATATAGATACCTTTTAAGTTTGGTAAGGAATTTTCAAAGTATGTTATATGCCACTCGAGGTTCATGCTTTTTAGAACAGTAGATGTTGCTTGTATCTGCTGCACCATGAGATCTTCATTTTGTATAGTTGGAAATAGAATAAATCTGAAGTTGTCAACACCATTTCTTAGATTTACACTTTTCATGAGACGGGTAAAAACTCCAATATTATCAGCAGTCCATTTCTGTAAGTAAAAACAAATCATAAATTACATATATATCCATAGCTTTGCTTAAACTGTGCCAACTGCCCCACTGACGAAATAATTAAATGGTAATTCATTCAGAAGTGTAAAACCTTTTCGTTAAGAAACAATTTTGTTGGAAAGTTTTTATCTTTCCTTCAGCCACCAGAGACTGAAGAAGATCGTTTATCAATTCGTGACAATGTAAAGCTTGCAGAAGTACGTTTTAAATCAACAATCGTGTTCCAAAATTTCATAATGCATGCTTGCATAAACGTATAAGCCTGTTATTTCACGTGCTATACTTGTGTCTTAGAGCTCTGGAAAAACGAGGGGAACGTTGAGGAATCAACTTGAAGGATATCTCTCGCATTGGAGGACAAAAATAGGATTCAAATCCAGGAAAGATGTGAGAATTTAAATCCAGTTTTTTTATTACAAGTAAGTGTTCATATTAAGAAAATGGGAAAATGTTCTAGTCGTTTGAAAGATGAAAAAGCAATGATATTTAAGCGGATCTTTTTTACAGATTCAGTCAAGATCTGACAGCGTACAACCTGATTTGGAATTACAAGGTGAGTCTCGAGGTTAAGGTTAGTTTCCGTTGAAAATATAGGAAATGGAAATGTAATGGAGGATTTCCTGTCGCTATGAGTATAACAAGACAAATTCAATAGTCCTGACCTCTTTCTCTAAACTGTTCTCGTAAAAGAGTATGAAACAATTTCTTATGTTTTCAATGTGACAGACGCGAGAGGAACTTCTGGGGCACTCGAATCTGATTTGCACGCATTTGCAATGGAAAAAGATCTGAGTGGAAACTACGTTGTCTTTTGGAATCACCTTTAGTTTGAAGTCCTGTATGAATGTTTAGATGATGAACTGAAATAGGTTAGTGATAAGCCTAACTGCTCTAGCTTTTTAACAGTTCTTCATAAAGCCCCCTTATTCCTCGATAGGAATCAAACTCAGTAACGTATCTCTGCTATCAGGTGACTATTATTTGAGTCTTGTTGGAACCAAACGACGAGGAGACGCCGATAACAAATGTGTGAGTCCACGACATTTATCTATCAGGGTTTGCAAATATTCAAACTACTTTCCATGTGCTTTTCTGTCTGGCTTCCCCCTATTCTCTATATTGCTGCACAGTTCACGCAATGTTATTTGTCCTGCAGAATGTAGTAGAGAAGTATAGAATCATGGATGAAACCATTCAAGATTCGATCGACTTTTCTATTTTGTTTTCAGGCTCGAGTTGTCTAACGATCTGTATCACTGATTCCTATTGACAACTAAACCAACTATGAAAGCAATGTGCCTTCAGGTGAGGATGTCGTTTAGCGTGAATGTAGCCATGTGTAGCCTTCAAAGAATGAATTAAACAAATTGGAATATTTCATTCACAGGCGATGACTAAAGTTTATGGAAAATATCACGAAGAGATTGGAGCTTTTAATGACACCAAGCTAAGGATCATCTGTTATTGATCCAGTGTTACTGCAGGAGCCTGAACTAAACTAACTTTATTCATACTGTTTCGTATTTTTAGCATTTACATGAAAATGGCATCACTAACAGGGATTGGAAGGTTAGCACGCCCTAATTTATTTATCACTACTGTCTTTATATCCTAAACTTTAACGACCATAATTTAACTTTTTCTTCTCTAGCAAGAAAATGTTTTATTGTGTTCCTCGTATGACGAAACGCTTATAAAGGTTTGTGTCGGTTGTGTATTGAACTTGTGTTTAAATTGCCCTTTAAATTGTCTTTGAAGAAACCATTCGATGTGACCATTGCCAGCAAATCCTGGAAGTCACTATAATCTCAATTCCGAGTTTTGTCCGTGATTTCGTTTTACGAAACCAGAGCGCATTCTGCAAACGTTTTAGGTTCAGTTATTTCTCATTGCTACAGTTTCTCAATGATAACAATTAATTTTTTAGATCAGAATTCCTATATGGAAACACTCTGTGGTACACCAAGTTACCTCGCTACCAAAATGTTAATCCCGTAGCCTGAAGAACGATCCTACAAGAAATCGTGTGTTATATGTTTGGTATGCCATATACTTCAGTTTACTCAAATTCACGTAGTGAACACGATTTGTAATGAAGCTTGAGGTAGGTTAACCTCATTTCAAAATTGGAGTACGTCAATGAAAAGTTAAGGTCTTTTAGACTTTCCGGATCTTCTTTATTTTCAAAGCAGGCAAATAACCAATTGGAGAAACAAGTCAAAGAAGGGTCGTATAAATTTCCGAACAACCTCTGGAAGAATGTTAGCAGTGAAGCTAAGGATCTTATAACAAAACTGCTTACTGTTGGTCACAGAAAATGCATCACGGTTTCAGAAGCTCTAGAGCATCCTTGGATGAAGGTGATGATGAAATTACTAACCGCCTTATAACACCCCGCATCTAAGATTTTTCAAAATCGGCTGACCTTTTTCGTCTGAAGTCACAGCTTTTTCGAATTGTTAGAATTAGTTTGGTTGAAGTTTAGAACTGATACAGCTATCCAGCATAAATAAAGTCAGTTTAGTTCAGGTTTCCTACTGTAGTAACACTGGATCAATACGGGATGACCCCTACTGGACCTCCATGAAGGACAATTTAGAACTGATAGAACTATACGGTATAAATAAAATTAGTTCAGTTAGGAGAGAAAGCTTTTAAAAGTGTTAGATTGATCCACGATTTAACAAGGTTTTGTCTTTTGTAGGATAAAGAAATGATAGAAAAAGCAGAAAAAATGATAAAACCGACCGTGGATGGAAGATCAATGTCTCCGCCCTTATAAAAGGTATGTTGAAAACTACGATACTTGTCCCGTTCTTCCGTCCAATGACCCTTATTTTCAACTCGCAATTGCAATGAAACATTACATGTTTGCAAGTTACATCGAAATTTAACCAGCTTTCCGAAACAATCTCAAGGCGCTGTTACACTACGCAACTTTCCTTGCAAATTGCAAAACCATTCTACTCCTGAGGCATCTAAAGTTGTCAAATACGAACATCTATTACGATCTGCTAACGTTTCCTTAGTATTTCGAACACTCTTTACAAATTAACATCCTTCGGAGTTATAATTGCATTGCAAGTTGTAAGGAAAATTGCATATTGTATAGTAGCGCCTTCAGTAAAGTTGAAAATTCACCGTGCAATGAAACATTGCATGTCGGCAAGTTAAAAGGCAGAAAATAACTGTCACCGTACATGGTGAAGACTGGCCGACGGTCACGTTCAGCAGACGAGGCTCTGCGAGCAAATAAAATACTCAGTGGCGTAGCCAGCACGACAATTTAACAGCATGACTGAAAATGCTTCATGTAAGATCACATCACTAGTTATTCCGATAAATAAAGAACAGGGGCCGGTTGTTCGAAAGGTGGATAAGTCGCTATCCAACGGATAACTCACTATCCAACGGATACGTTTTATCCAGCGTGTGATTTGGGTTGCACAAAGCTTGTATAACTTTATCCAGAGGATAAAAATCGCTATCTACCGGATAAATTTATCCAAGGTCCGGAGGTGGTTTAAATCCACTATCCAGTGGATAAATTCAAAGAATACAAGGTAACACTGTAAACATTTATATAAAATAGGACAAAAATGCAATATTCCTCTTACTGTGTTTCAACTAACTAATACACATCATGATTGTATTCACTATATATTAAAAATGTTTTCGAAGTGCAAATTGTCGCAGCAGCGTTTCACGTTGCCTACACATTCCGTTCGACCGGCGATTTTTTGGACATCCTCGCATTTATAACAGGTGGTAAATTTACTATACGCTTCTAATCAGTTTATAAACGCGAATATGCAAAGAAAGATTTAACCTATTCCAAGGAAACTTGCTAATATCTAAGTAATTTCATTCACGAACATTAAAATAGTGTTTCTAAATTTGCTATGGGACCGAAAGGCAAAGCGTTGCAAGTCAAGGAATAAAATTGCAATGTGTTTAATTAATAATCACTATGATGTGAAGTGCAAAGTTCGAGCAAATCACTTGTTCAAGCCTTTTCCATTCAGTAACTATACTCGTGAATTCGTACTGATTATGAATTCAATGTTGTAAAGCTTAGCAACAGCTGACGTTGTGGTACGAAATTTCAGAATAATCCTGTTTTCTTCTGGTAAATTTTAACTTATCTATTGGATAGCTATCCACTTCACTATCCACGCTTCCTGCAACGCGTTTTTATCCAATGGATAACTATCCAGATTTATCCGTTGGATAGGACTTATCCGTTGGATAAGTTATCCATCTTTCGAACAACCGGCCCCAGTTCCATACCTATACTTTTGTACGTGTGAAACTTTTCGCTTGATTTTCTTTAATTGTGAGAATCCGACCGTGCAGCAAACATTGAAATAAAGCGATAACACTAAACTTGATTGTGATAGCCCTGAGTATATACCGCTATAATAGCTTTGTTCCTCATAATGATATGCTGGATTCCTCGTCCAGGTATAACTTCTAAAACACGCCTTATTTTTACTTGTATTCCAATGCACCTAAGTTAGTAAAAAACCTGACAAACCCGCTGGTAGGGTGTAAAGAATTTATTTCTAAATCAAAAACTCGCTCTTACATAAGCCACTTATTGAAAAATTTTCGCTATATATTTCAGTCAGATGGATCTCTCAGTCATTTCTCATTCCTTAGTGAACAAATAGTATTTCAGTGAATTGCTAGAACATACCTGAAAAACAGCTATAAACTTCAATTCTCAAAGATATGTTGCGTACCATGTCTTTGGATGAATGCGGATGTAAAGCGCGGTTACAGTTGGTGATAGGACATTTTCCACCAGCGAGTCTCTAATGAAATGAATAATTTGTTAAACAATTAATCTTAATCACACATTAAAAGTTATATATGACCGCATGGAAATGATGTGATGCATATAACGTGACAGGGTAATCTGTAGAAGCCTTGCTTATTAATCCAGCTAACCCTGACTAGTCCATTTATTTTGTAATGATCGAATTTTTGCCCGTCGGAACTACAGGACACAGAATAGGTCTTCACCACTAATTATAATCACGACGACTTTGAGTGAAATCGCTCCGACAAACATCTTTCTTGCCGAATGCATTTGGTCCTTGGTTATTTTTCCGTGCAGACCAGGAAGCTGCCTCATTTAAGCGACCATGTCCTGTCGACTTATCCGCATTCCCAACACTTGTTGCTATTATCTGGGATGTTATGTGTCTTCAGTACGTGGGCCAATAATTAGTATCAATTATCTTCTGGCACCAAAACACCATCGAACAATCATCAACAAAAATGAAATGATAATGCATATAATTTTGCCATACACGGCTCCTCCAGAATTGAAACCAGTCGAGGTACAGCGTTATTTCCATTGATTTTGTGAAATCTTTACTTGGGGGTTAACATCGAATTTTATCACATTCCCATATAGGGGAATTACTGAATAAAAAAATAATGTCCAACAGTCCTAATATGACATAATAATAAACTGAACATATACCATGTAGCCTGCAATATTTACCTTGCTTGGTATGTCAGTCCATCAAATCCATGTATGGCACAGCGATGGATGGAGGTGTAGTCAGTGATAAGAGAAAGGTAATAATTGTTAGCAACTCCTGGGTTGCCATACTTTATTTGATCTAAAATTGAAACACAAGGAACAAGTAAATTATTATATTATTGTCCAGGGTTGTGAGGCTATCAGCATTGTGATATCCCAGGTTCATGCGTACCGCTACCATGGGACAACATTCCTTAGCGAACAAATAGTATTTCAGTGAATTGCCAGAACATACCTGAAGAACCGCCATAAACTTCAATTCTCAAAGATATTTTGCCGTACCAATTCGACTCTATATGCCATAGAATCTACAATTGAGATTACAAGAACATAACTATCACACAATTGAAACTATAATTGTATATGAATCACAAGGGCCTATACAGTATAGTAACAGCATGTATTTTTGACTTCTATAACACAAGAATATACAGAACAAAATGCAGGTTGTTTTCTTTCATATTCACATAATACCCCCAACCCCTGACAGTTACATATATATTGGTAAATGCAATTACATAATAGGAAAGGGAGAAAAAAAATCTATTTTTTATAACACCAGTGAAATATTGTGTACGCATAATACTTAGCGCTATGACCCATGCTGTCATGCTTCCATCACCAGATATCATGAAATCATCTTGGTTTTTTAATGTTGAAATTAATCCGTTTAATTTAAAAAGCACAAAAATACCAAAATATAGCTCGAAAATTTCTAATCAAGAAATTAATCAATATTGCTGTTAACCTGACACTGCAGTGCAGCTCTAAAAATCATATCAAATTACACAGGATTACAAAATGGAAATATAACTCGCCTTTGGAATTTCGTTATTTTCTTCGTTATTTTTTATCCTGTCGTCTTTTAACCGTTACATATAAACTGTAAAGGCATTAGTTATCTTTTCTGATAGGATTTAAGTCAGGATGGGCAGAAAAACTCGAAAAATATAGATTTTTTTATTTGTTATTGTGTATAGCGAGGCGTTGCTCAGCCGCATGCACAAGTGGTTGTCGCGTGAGGTTAGAGGTGTCAAAAACGTAATGTTGCCTACCCCGTGGGGGTAAAATAAGCCCAGAAATCGATTTCTGGGTAAAATTGTCCCTAGAGGTCATAATTGTCAAATTTTCGCTAATATGGTGATAATTATATGCACATTTTCGGGTTTCCGTTTGTAAACACATTTGTTGGAAATATCACTACAAATCGCCAAAGCAACTGTATTTCGAGTAAAATATATGAAAATATTGATCCCAATGTAAGCTACAAATATTTGGAGGTTTTTAGGCGAGATTTTTGGAAGGCTTTGCGTATTTTTGCTTCTCTAACATTCAATTTAAAAAGTACAAGTTCTGCAATAAATATCTTGGCTTATAGGAAAGCTTTTGAAATGAACTAAAGTTATACAAATAGGTAAATGTTTTTTCTTTAAGATAATACAATTTCTAGTTGAATTGATAAAACACTTCCAGATAAAACCGAAATTATCTGTGTGCGCCGTTTACGACCGGACAGCAATGAGTTTAGTGGTCTCATATTTATTAAAATGGGTGAAGTATTCGCAGAGTAATCACAAGTTTAAATGAGCTTACCACTTTGAAATATCCTCTGATCGGACGTCTAACTGAGAGGATCCTTAAACAT